CTGGATGTGCATCTCTAATCTGCTTTGCACGTTCAAGCGCGGGCTCAAAATGAATCAACAGCTCGTTTTCTTTCCCGTTAGTAGAAAGCAGGCTTGAGACGTCGATTCTGTGAGCTATAAACATGTTGTCGCTCTCGAGAATCTCCTTGCCGTTCAAGAGGACGGTTGCATATGTATCCAAGCCATCGAAGGCGAGGATGTATGCCTTTCCTTCATTGAGGCCGGACGGAGATGGGAAGACCGTTCGGTACGTCCAATGCTTTTCGGCAACCCAGCCGACCTTGAGCTCGTTTCTCTCAAAGAAGGGGTCTGGAATCCTACAGTTTATTCGTTAGCATAATGTTATCCCCGACGAATTCTTAATTGATAAATGCAATGGAATCTCAAGAAAATAGTATACTAGAAACCAAACCCGACTGTGGCGCAAAGGCTAGCTTACTTTTTATGCTTGATCAAATCGAGATGGATATTTGTTGGAAACTGTGCGACCTCCAACCATTCGTCTTTCGAGTCCTTTTCTTTGAAGGTCCAATTGGAGCTCAATGCGGTAACGACTTTTTCGGCGTGTGTTGCCATCGCGTGGGAAGCTTTTAATATATCAAAATATATATTAATATCAATTGAAGATATATATATTGATCAACTGATTAATTGATATATTGATATACTTATATGATAGAAGATAACAATATGAGGCTCGTTATATCAATGTGTTGTAATATCGATATCCTAGCCTAGACGGTAATATATTATTTTATAGATATATATTCGGGGATCTAGCAGCGGTTAGATCGGAAACTGGCAGGCGGGCTCTAACTACTTTATATAGGGATAAAGTCCTGATTGCCGTTGACAGCTCCACCTTTTTTTAAAATTCCTTTTCTCCCTTCTCCCCCACTTTAAATTTTGTCCGCGGTTAATGATATATTGAATGATGGAAGAGTTCCGTCTGAGTGTAACACGCATAAATCGTGAAGAGGAATTCGAGTTGGCTAGGTAGCTAGTAAGTAACTACAAGTAGGTAAAAGTTAGTTGGTGGTGGGACAAGTCGGTTTTTGTCTTTCGGCGGGTGGAGGTCCGACAGAAGTACCAGGATGAGCTCCAAAGCTAAGTTTCTCCGTCCAAAGCTCCAACGTCAAATCACAGCCCACGTTGCGGGATAAATCCCACCGAGATGCATCACTTGGGCTACCCAATACGGTCGCCACGATCATGACTGCACATGCATGGCTCGAAACGTTTTACCAGGTCTGCCCACCCATATGGCCATCTACGCGAAGCTTTGTTAAAACTCGAGCCTTGCTAGTTAATCAATTTGAAGCCTAAGCGAGCCGCGGTTCAAGCACACCTCAACCTCAATCAACCAACTCCTTCATTGGGTCCAAGCTTTCCATACACAGCATCGGCTATATCCTCATCTCGATGACACGATGCATCAATAGAATACCCCTCCTTTCATCTGGTGGCGACGACCTATTTGAGTGATCGTGCGGTGGTCCCATGGACGAGCGAAGTCGGAGCTGGGCCTCCCTGACAGCGGGAGGCCCTGGCTTTCGGTCAAGATCCCCATTCTCAAAGGTGTTCTCGAGCTCGAGATCAAGAGCATCCTCCGTGTCTTCTGATTCGACAACTTCTTCTCAGGATAGTCCGAGTCCGAGCGAGTCTCCGATAGCTCAGACACTCCTTCCACCCTTCTACAATCGGCCACCAACAGTATGTTCAACCACCAGACAGTCTCGGAAAGCCATTGGATTCGGGTTAGCTAACTTGTAATAATAAAAAGCCTTTACCACCATCGCCGTCTCTTACGTCTCTTCTGAGACCTCCTTTTACACCTTCACGTCCCGCTACACCGGATTCGTCGGACAGTGAAGTCCCGAATTCAAGCCGACAACCTCAATCGACAGCACGTGCTGCTCCTCAAGTACCTACCTACGAATACTATGGCTTCGTTCTATACCTTACAAGCACTCTCGCATTCAGTGCGTTCTTTCCCTTCATATCAACAGTATGCTATCATATGGAATGAGTTACTGAAATTTTGGGATTTTCACAGTTATATATATCCTCTGGTCATACCTCCCAGCTCCCATGTTACACTTTCTGGGAATACACTATTTCTACAACAGATGGTGGTCACTAGCGGTTCCGGCATACCTCGTCGCCACTATAATATACATTTACGTAGCTCTCGCCTCTTACAATATCGAGTATCTGACCAAACCGTTGACATCGCTAGAGAACATTGTCGACGAAGTGGCCAAGATGGCAATCGTGGAGATTGATGAAAGTAAACATCGAAAGATAATACGGGGTGTAAATATTCAGCCGGAGGGATACGATCAGTCGGGGGGGTTGCCCACACCTGCGCATTCACGACGGGCTAGTAGCAGTGCGGTTTATGAGCAGAAGACGTGGGAGTCGATTGAGGATGCTGTGGAGCGTCATGTTAATGTCGACGGTGGTCTCACGTCGCCTTCGACAGGTGGTGAAAATTATTCGCCGGTGGAAAAAGTTGGTTCGATGAGCCGGCGGAAAAAGAAGCGGAAGAGTAAGATATTACCTGAGCGTGATGCCAAGATGCCGAGGGAGTCAGAGTATGAGTTTGCGGTCACTGCAGAGGAACAGGTGGATTATGAAGATGGCATGATTGATTGGAAGGACTATTGGAGCACCGGGACAGATGCGGTGATGGATATCCCCATCGGTGGCGTGTGTGAAGTGCTTTACGGCGAGGGACGGGATGATTCGGATCCGCTCACGCTCGAACCTTTTTACTATTAGCGGCGATGCCTCTTATATTTCTTTTTGTCTAAATAGAATTATTATCTATCTTCGTATGCAGCTTAGTACTGCTAACGACAGATATGTACAACATGTGTCTCATATGCATTGAAATCAAAACGACACGATTTGGCGGCCGGCATGACTCGTCGTCATTTTGGTCCTGGTGGGAACAATGGGTCCGGTCTTGTGCATCCGTTTCCTGCGGGGAAGCTCCACCACACCGAGTTTGTGCTGCCGAACGGCCGAAGATTCGATCCCAGTCTCCCCTGCTGACTGACTGACCAGAAAACACCACGACGAAGAGGAAGAGCGGAACCGAAAGGTACCAAACTTGAAGAAGGAAGAAAATGGCGGGCGATTAAATCCAACAGATCCAACTGAGATCGAATCGAATCCAACATTGTTCGTTGTACGTTTCGCCCGAGAGAGATGAAAGAAGAGAGCCAGTCCAGACGACAATCGACCAGGATTTATATATTAATCACAAAGGAAGCAAGGAGGTTAAGAGAACCACGCTGCATTGCACTGCACAGTCAGGCCACAATCCCCCTGCCCAACCAAATAGCGGCGGGATCGTTTCTTTCTCCCACTTTGAGGCTGAAAGGGGTCTAGACGCACTGCCGCCAGGAGGAGGAGAGCCAGAGAGAGAGGAGATATTATATATAATACCGTCAAGGATGCAGCTCGAGAATGCCGGCCCCAGTCCATCGCTGTTCCGGGGTTCGATCACGACAACCACCGCCCCTCACCCGAATCCACAGAAAAAGAAGGCGACGATGCTGCCTGTGTCCAATCACCCTTCACTCTCCCGAAAACGGTCGGCTACGATCCTGCTAGACTCACCGTCTCCTCCTTCCTCACGCCCACCGTCTCGAGATGGCGACGATCATAAACGCTCTCGCGTCGCGAAACAGTGGACCGCGTGTCCCGAGTATGTCACAACGGCCGAAAGCAGCATCAAACTAGACCAGAGAGCGGAAAACGCCAACGTCAACGTCCTCCTACCAGGCCTGGAGGGTTTAAGCGACGACGGATGCTTCACGGAGCTCATCTCGGACGGGAGTCGGTTTACGATGCTCTGCTTTTTAGGGTGTACGATTGATCATTTACATGCCGCGAGGTTAGTCCATGACGCTAACACACCGGACGAATTTTTTTTTGGATCGTCAGGGACCAGATGAATATGAATTAATTGAGAACTGTAATAAACCGGAACAGCGTTGTGTCTTCACTGCTCTCGACTTTTAAGGTTAACGTTTACGGTGTATCCTTAATACCTCCGCCGCCGCACACATCTTCGCTACCGATAAGTACGACATGATTTGGATTCCTTTCTTGCTATAAGGGATAGCGAGCGCTAATCTTGGTTATCATCCTTGAATTGATAGTATTTGACGGGACTCGACATCTTACGTCCTCACTCGGCCTTCTGCACCCACTCGGCGGCGGGAGACAAGCGCTCGACGCTATTGTCGTTCTTGACTCCAAATTGCGACGAAGAATGCTACTTCCGATCGGCTGGGGAGTAAAACCACGAAAACCGCAGCGGTCGGCCGGCAGTACGCAGCTCGCAAATACATATGCGGATACCGAAGAGGAAGAGATGTTGCTTTCAAGCGAACAGGAGGTGGAGAGGGCGGTGAAGCGGTTGATTTCTGGAATCGAGTGGTTGATCCACGAGGAGACGGAAGAGTATTCGAAGGATTGGGATGAAGGGTTTCGGACGGCGACAGTGCACGGTATGGATTTTTGAAGTGGATTTTTTTTTAATATCAGAGTATCGATTTTTAATATATTCGTGGGAACTATGGACCGGGTCGCATATTTGACATTTGATATTTGGGGCTTGGGCGATTCACAAGCTTAAGATTGAGTATTTTATTTCAATTTTTATTTCAGCATGTTTGATATCGAGGGCGTTCATATTTAATATTTTGAACATTTTATTTTTCTAATTTTCATTTTCATCCTTCATGTATTTACTTGTTCATATTCGATTCCAAGTGGTATTTGAATTCGTGCGCATTCGTCAGCGGGGCTAGGCAGGAAGCTTTAGCTTGCGCACCCAACTTTAGGCTGCCCCACCAACCACTGAGAATCTTTGATATAAATTCAAACCCCCCACCGACCCTCACCCATCACAACATATACTCCCAGAAAAGGAAGCTATCGATCCAGTCTCTCAGAACAATATCAATACAGACCGATTCAAGATGGATATGCCCATGAACGTCCCCGTGGACAACCCGAACGCCGACACTGAATGGTTGGTCCACCCCTCTCTACGATATAGCTTAGCTTAGATAAGAGCACAACTAACCACAACTTCTCCCCGCTCACCCGGGCACCCCACCCGGCCACCACAGGGCACCATCTTAACCCCCTTTCTCTAAAACAAACAGGAACGACATTCTACGCAAACATGGCATAATCCCGGAACGTCCACCGTCCCCTACCGCCAAAATCCAAGAAGCCCTCCTGGAAGCATCCCGCCTGGCGCACGAAAACCGTCTGGAGGGCAAAGACCTCGACGAACTAGACGAACTCGAAGACCTCGAAGACGAGAGTTTCCTCGAATCATACCGTCAGAAACGACTCGCCGAGCTTTCCACCCTCTCCCAGAATTCACCACACGGGAGCGTATACCCCGTTCAGAAACCGGACTACGCGAAGGATATAACCGAAGCCTCCAAACAATACTACGTTTTCGTCCACCTCTCTTCTTCGTCTTATGCGAACGTTGAGTCGAAATTGTTGACGGAGGTGTGGCGGACCGCGGCGGGGAAGTTCCCCGATGTGAAGTTTTGCGAGATGAGGGCCGAGATGGCGGTGGAGGGGTATCCTGAGAGTAATTGTCCGACGATACTGGTGTATAAGGATACGGATATTGTGAAGCAGGTTGTGACGTTGAAGAGTATGGGTGGGGTTAAGTGTGGGTTGGCGGATGTGGAGAAGTTGCTGGTGGAGGTTGGAGCGGTGAAGGTTAATGATTTTAGGTTGCAGAGGAAGGAAGAGAAGGAGGAGAGGCAGAGTTCGATACGGTCGTCGGCAAAGAAGGATGACGATGATGATGATGACTGGGATTAGTATGGGTGTTTGTATTTTGTACTTGTATGTTGGAAAATGAAACCAATGACTTTTTGAATTTCTTGGTACTGATAGACTGACTGGTCATTATGTTATAAATACAGGTATTGAATGGAAAATTTGATCGTGCTCGTTTATGATACAAGAATTGAAACGCTCATTTGCTCTTCTTTTGCTTTGTGCCGTTCTGGGCGGATACTCTTACAAACCCCTTGGTTTTCGTCGACTTTTCCTTCTTCTGCTTCTTCTCGTCGCTAGCTTTGGCTGGGTTTATCTTCTCGCCATTCTTCTCTATCTCTTCTTCTTGTTTCTTCTCCTTCGTGCCTGCCTTTGAAGGGTCAGCACGAGGGTCGATACCCTTCTTTCGCTTCTGCCTCTTCAAGCTCTTCTCGATAATCTTCGCATCCTCTTCGTCTTCTGACCATTGGAATGCGCTTCCATCCTTTTCTACCTTCTCTGCCTTCTCATCATCAATATCCATCTCCACAATCCCTTCCTCCTCCTCAGCTGTCTCCACGGACACAGTATTTCCGCTGCCTGCCGGACTAGGGCCGACTTTTCTAAACTTCGCGACAAAGAAACCGTCCACGTTATACTTGTGCGGATAATACCTCCTCGTCATCTTCATCCTCTCGTTGAATGTCTTTCCCCTAAAGCTCACAAACCCTTCAACCCCAAAAGTCAACCCAGTCTCCACCAGCTTTACATTCGGCCGTTTCCTCAGCGCATATTCTACCACCCCTTCGTTCTCCTCCACGGTTACCGAACATGTCGAATAGACGATATACCCCCCAGTTTTACTATTATGATCCACCGAATCGATCGCAGCGAGAAGCAGCTGCTTTTGCAGATGAGGTAGCTTCAAGAAATCCTTTTCCGTCTTGTTGGTCTTGACGCTCGCATCCTTCGCTATAACACCCGTTCCCGAACACGGCGCGTCCAACAATACTCTATCGAACCCGCCGATAACTTTTGGAAACTCCCTAGCGTCGTAATTACACACGATTGTGTTCTTCACGCCCAATCTGTGAATGTTACCGATCAAACCCTTCGCACGGATTTTATTCGCATCGTTCGCAAACACGCATCCCGTGTTCTTCATCAACGCTGCCATGTATGTTGTTTTACCACCGGGGGCGGCGGCCATATCCAAACACCGTTCGTTTTCCTGCGGTGCCAGTGCCATGACGGGGAGGAAGGAAGATGCTGCTTGGAGGATGTAGTGACCGGCTAGGTATTCGGGTGTCGCACCGAGGGGCACTTGGGATTCGAATACTTGAAGACCGACTTTGGACCATTTACCGATCGGTTCGAGAGTTACGCCGCGGTTGATGAGGACTTGGGCTAGATCTCTCCTGTGGGTTTTGAGGGTGTTGGTACGGATTACCAGAGGACGAGGGGTTTCGTTGGCTTCGAAGAAGGAGAGCGCCTCGGATGGGGAGAAGAGGTGGAAGAGTTTTTCTGCTAGGTAGGGGCTGTAACCGTAGTATGAGGATATGTCGGTGATGATTTGTTCGGTGTAGTCTGTACGGGAGCGGCCTTCTTCGCAGAGGTTTGAGAAGTCTTCGAGGACGCGAACGACGTCGTTGATGCGGGTGCGAAGGAGGGCGAGGTCCGGTGCTAGTTTTGAGAGTTTGGAAGCTTCGTCTTCTTCTTCTTCATCGTCGTCGTTTCCACCGGTGGCGGCACCGATGACGAAAGGTTTGATTTCGTCTTGGCCAATGTTGGTGGTTATCTGTTCTTGGAGTTCCGCTTCTGCCTCTTCTGCCTCTTGAGCGATCTGGAGGTCTAGTTTGCGGGTGAGGCCGGCGATGTTTGCCGCGGTAAGTTGCTCTTCAGCTTCGGAACCCGAGAGGTCGTCGTCGGAGAAGATTGGACGGGTTTCGTCATCGCCGGAATCGTAGACCGAGTTATCAGAATCACCATCGGCATCAAGGTCTGGCTCGTCGTCGTCGTCTTCCATATCGTCGTCTTCGTCTGATGAACCCATGAAATCCACGGCGGCTAGCTTGCCTTCCGATACATCTTCATCGTCGCCCTCTGACTCCCATTCCTCGTCGGCGTCGTCGCTGTCGTCGTCGTCGTCGGAATCCAACGGCCGGGGAGCTTTCTTGCCATTGGTCTTGGCTTTGCTCGAAGCGTCCTTTGATACCTTCTTTGTGGAGGCAGCAGTAGTAACAACGGTTGTAGATTTTGATTTGACACCATTGGTCGGCGCGACAACTTTGGTCTCCTTCTGCTGCTGCTTCCTATTCTTCTTCTCGGGTGCTGTTATAGCGACGGTCTTGGTTTTCTTATCATCCTTCGATCTCTTTGATGGCTTCGCATCTTCCAGGTCGTCTACCTTGCGCTTCTTTGCGAGATGTGGATGGTAGGTCTCGATTGGATCCGGGAGACCCTGCTTGTACTTTGACCGGCCTTTGCCCATTATGGCGACTGTGGATGCGACTCGGACGGAGGGGGAGTTTTAGGGGTAGTTTAGGAAGTTTTTTTTTGGTATATCGAATATAGTGATGATATCAAAAGGTTCGAAGTGAAGGCTTAAAAAAAAAAAAAAAAAAAAAAAAAAAACTTTTTTTTATGGCGACGAGAAACGAAGAAATGCAGCGAGCGACAAAAAAAGAAAAATGCCACACAACACAATATACAATCGACGGGCCGATCGATCAGGCGATCGAATCGTTCAACTTGACGACAAAAAATGGAAACCGAGGATATCAGATTGAGGATACCATTCTGGACTTCGTTAATTTCATCTGATACACTAAATGGCACACTCTATATATATACTTAAGTATTTAAGTATGTATACAATAATATATTTACTTGAGATTTTTAAAAAAGTTTTATATCGGTGTCTAACTTCTTACAAGCTCAGACGCTCATGGCGCCGAAGTACACATATATAAGTATATGGGTAATGGTCTCCTTCGATTGCGCTAACGAATTTGCGCAAATCACCCCCTGAAAAACTAGAAGTACTGCTATCCGCTGCCAAAGTCGAAGTGGAATCTATTTGAACGTTCCTGTTTAGAAGGGAAGGATATCGGGGAAATGTTGCTAGATATCAGTGCTACTACTAGAGGTATTTTTTATTCAAAAATCGATTCTAGAATTGTATCTGGGCTCTTTATTTGAGAATGAGTATCGTAGGTAACTAGATTCGGCTTTTATTTCCTCGTCGACGAGAACTCTAGGTGGATATGGATTATTAGACCTGCCTCGAATTTGGTTCCGTTGAAGAGAATACCGATTGATGGATAAGTCATATGGGTAATATTATATAGAGACTTCGACTTGATGAGTACTTATTTATCGGAATAAGTTTTTTTCGAATTCGACTGCGAACTTGTTTTTTGATAATAACCAAATCTTGCGTCCGGTAATTTTTCAGTGAAAATGTATTAAATACCTGAAAATCCAGTTCTTTGAATACTAATACCGGCTGATAAAAGTCTTGTGTTCAAATATTGAATTAAAATCGATAAAGTCGTCCGGATTGTTATACAACTAGAACTGATTTGTTGGATCCCAGGGTGAGACAAACTTCGTCTCGAATCTTCGAAGTCTGTGGCGGCAGGCGAAAACGGTGAGACAGTAGCTGTGGCGCATTCGACAAGCGCAAGCCCATCGATAACTGGAGCTTGCACTTGCAGTACTTGGAAGAAGAGGAATCCTTGTCGACCAATACGCGTTCGATTGCGATGTCATTGGACACCGGCCCGCAAGTTACGTATGCACACATCCATCCATCGCATCGATATCAACCGGGGGCTGGGGCTCGAGACAGAATATAATAATATAATCGTATACTCAAGTATGTATCCAGGAACTGATTTCTTCTTTCTTTCTCCTGTGATCCAAAATATAATTATATCAGCAACAGGCTAGCTATCTAATCGATAATTGTTGGAAAGGGTTCGTGCCTGGAGTGCCCCAGTTTGACAGCTCTGAATTTGCGCCTTCGTCAAGGTCCGGCCGGGGTCTGATCCCATTTAACTAAAATCAGGCTTGTGGGTTTTGACCACCTGCAGAAACACCACAGCTTTTAAGACCAGGCAGAAGTATTTCGATCGATCGAGAAGGGAAGAGAGAGAAAAAGAGGACTCTTGGGTTTTTTTTTACGGGACAGCCTTGCAGCTGCTCGTCGTATTCGAGAATTAATTCATTTGAGGCATATAATCCCATCTCATTCCGCAACACCTCAACTACACTCTCCTTCGCCCATCGCCATCCCATCCATCAACCATCAATCAACCCATCCTGTCGACCTCCCCATCACAACATCATCACCACCATCACCACCATCATCGCTACGAGCTACGAGCTAGCTGTCCCACCACATCTCCCATTTCTCGCCAAATGGTGACGCTCGAGCAGACCTCCCGTCCTGGTGGCGTCGGGAGTTCCTTCGATGGTTCAGGAGACCATTCTCAACCTCAACCTCCACCTCATCCTTCTCCGATCCCGTCACAGTCCGCAGCAGCATTGGGAATCCCTCCACCACCTCAACCGCCACAAGCACCACCTTCTTCTTCTTCTTCTTTCAACCTACAGCCCGTCCAAGATGCTCTGCCCGACCATAATCCGTATAGAATACTGCAGAAACAACGTACTGGGCAAAGCGACGGAGGCTATCAAAGTACTCACTCCCCTGGATCCACTCAATCATTTTTTCCTCCAGCATGGCGAATTTGCTAACCAGCTCCATCTTAGACCAGACATCCTATTTATCCACAAGTGCCGGCGCCACCACGGGCCGCCCGAATTCATCTCCCTACCTAGCTCCATATCCACAAAACGGAGACCAGTCGTCGCATCCTTCATCCGCTGGCCTCCCGTTGCCGCCCAGCAGCTATCACGCTGCAGCTCCGAGAAGCCACTCCGTATCCTCAATAGGCAATGTATTCCCCCAGCCTCTCCAGCTGCCTCTCCAGCCCCGTCAGGACCTCCCTCCGATCTCGACAGCTCAAGATGGCGTCTTTCAAATGGACGGTGAC